GCCAACGAACAAAGCATACCATGCGGATCCCGTCGCCCACGACCGGCTTCGCTCGGCTTCCCTCGTCCGTGTCGGCGGCTTCAGCCGGCATCTGCGGATCAAACTCCGAGCCGCCTCTCTTGATCTTGCAAAGTCAAGGGTGTGTCGCATACGTGAACCAAACGCGAAAAAATATCAGACATGGTTTGTTGCTGTCTCTGTTGTACACTGTACCTGATAATGTGGCCCATGGCCCTCTTCTGATTCCCCATTTTGTAATGCCCTGGTATCCGAAAACAAAACCGCACTTGAACGCGTACAACTACGAATCCCTATTCCGTCAACTCCCAAAACGCCATGCCCAAGCCCCATCCCATGAAAAGTACCCGCGCCCATATCTTGCATCATGTCGCCGTGCTCTCCGCCAGCAAGTCGTGGACCCAGCCCATCCTCTCTCTTCTCTCGTCCGTCACGCGCGCGTACTCGAGAAGCAGCCGCAGCGTGTAGATCTGCATGTCCTCCTTGCGCAGCGCCTTTTCGGCCCACGCCTTGCCATCCATCGCAATCTTCTCCGCCTCGGCATCGTGCGCGGGCCTGTCGCCTCCGTAGCCCAAAAAGTACTCCACGATGCCGTAGTAATCGTTGAAGCGGCTGTCCATTGGCACGAAATGCTTCCACGCAACCAACCGGCTGTCGTGCCATTCGCGCCAAAGGGTCGCCTTGATGGGCAGACTCGTGCTCCCCAGGAATGCCAGATACCGCCCGGAAAAGCTGTTGCCGTCAATGTCGGGGAGATACTTTGAGTCGTACATCTCGGTGAGCATGACGCCTTCCGTGACGTTGAAGTGCGGGCTCGTGTAGTTGCAGGTGCCGGCAGGGCCCTGCGGCTCGCACATGAGGTCTGTAAAGCCCACGTCTGCCCAAGAGCCAATCCATTCGCCGAGACTGTTGATGGCCTGGGCCGCGAGGTTGTACATCTTGTCCGGGAGCGAAAAGTTGACGGGGTCCATGGTGCCGTCCTCCGCGCCGGCGACCTTGGTCGCGTTGTTCATGGCGACGAAGCGGTGACGCTGAAATCCCCTCCAGTTACTGACGCGGTTGCGCCCGCCAGTCGCAACGCCGCGCCACATGACGGCGTCCTTCTTCCTGCTCCACGGCCCACCGTGGTACCCGCCGCCGCTGAAGCGCTCCTCTTCGGTCCAATACATGGCTGCGGGGAGAAGGATCTCGTTGTTGATGGCCAGCTTGGACCCCCCGAACATGGGGAAAAGGACGGTTGTGGCGGAGGTGCTGAGGGGCTCGATGAAGATGCCATTGAGGCCTTGGAGGTCAGGTTGGTGGCAAATTTCGGTCGACATGGTATAGTTCGCGACGAAGCCATCTCGCATGTGGGCTTTGGAGTATTTGGTGCCGATGCCTGGGGTATGGTCGAATGATTTTTGGGTCGCCGCCAGCCGGGCAGGGCTGTCTGGAGGACATCCGCGACGGGCAATGAGCCAATACTGTTCTGGAAAGAGTTAGTCTGAGACAGATGATCGATTCGATTGCTGAGGGGCGGCACGTACTTGTCTCTTCCCAGTGCTTGCTCTTGACCTTTACATTCCGATCGAGCTCCTTCTTATTGTTCGGCAGCGCCTGGAATGTGTTCATGACCTTTTTCGGCTCGGGCATCCCCTCCGTCAGGGCAGCGTCACGCATGTACTGCGTCATGTCCTCGTAGGGCACCACCATCCGGGGCTCGTCCATGGGGTTGAGAGCAATGTCCATGTCGGGAAGCAGGTGCTCGATCGTCTTGATCATGTTCGTCCAGTGGACAGTCCAAAACCACTCGCTGATGCGGGTGGCGCGACCCTTGCGTACCTTGATGGTCATCTCGTACTCGGCCGCTTCTTTGCGGATGCGCGAAGGTTCCATGCCCCAGAAGGGGCGCAGGTCGTGGTAAATTTGATCGAAAAAGTCCTCGACGATGACGGCCTTGCGCTCCTGGGCGAACTGGAACCAGGCGTCGAAGCCGGGCGGGGGGTGGCGACCACGGCGGTCGCGGTAGGCCTTGGCGGCTGCTGTGAGAGTCTTGGACTCCTTCTTCAGTAGACCATCGAACCTCTCGTTGGCTTCCTTAATGAGCGTATCGATAGGGTGCGACCCTGCGGCGGCGGGGTGCGTCTCGGCGGGCTTCTTGGGAATGGCGCCCTCGGCTTGGGTGGGCTCGTCGTCGATGGGGTGGACAGGCCTCGGCGCGGGCTCGGGGATAGGCTTCTCGGCGTCATGTTGTGTATTAACCGGTGGGATGGAATCTGGATTTTGGGGAGGTGTCTGTGGCCTCTCGGGCTGAAGCTGGGTCGTGGGGATGCCACGGGAGCGAGGGTCGAAGTAGTAAAAGAGGGCCAAGACGAAGACTGCAGCGATGGCGTATCGTAGGAGGCTCGAAGGGCGTCGCGGCGGGAAGGCCGCGGGTGATAGGAGCTTGACCATGGTGGGCTGCTCCGCGGTCGACGGTGTTCTGGGTGAAGCGAGAGCGCAAACTGGTTGGCGCCAGCGTTCGTCAGGTTGGTGACGTACGAGGTGAGCCCGGTCGAGGGGTTGTCCCTGGCGGCTGGCTCAGCCAGGCCAGCTTCGAATGCACCTCGCAGCAAAGGGGCTTGACCGGCCTTGAGGTAGGTAAAGGCCTTGAATCCGAGTCGAGATGTTGGGAAGGGGCGCGGTGGAAGGTTGAGAGTGTAAGATCGTTTATTTGATCGGGTTGTCGGAAGGCGGGCGTCGATTCGGGTAGTGTGAACGGACGACAGCAAGAAGCTTGGCTCGTGGGAGAGGAGGGCCTAGACGGGAGAGACGGCAGGAGCGGCAATGACGAGCGCGAGAAGAGTGGGCGCGGAGGTCGTCAGGGTCAGTCGGAGGTCTGGGCCGTGCCAGAGATGTGAAGGAGGGAAAAGCGATCAAAGAGCGAGGGGGTCGAAGCGGAGAGCGAGAGAGAGAGAGAGGGAGAGAATGAGAAAACACGATCGGCGGACGGCAGGTGGAGTTGTCAAAAAGAAGGGGAGCCGTCCACGCCAGGACGTGACGAGGAAGATGCAGGAAGAAAGATGGCCGCCAGATGCAAGGCGCGGTCTTTCTCGAGGAAGCCTAGTATGGTCTGGGCGGTGCAGATGACTTGAGGTGACTGATGATGGAGGCGCTGCGTCGGGAGCGTATGTTCAATTAGACAGATACACCACTGGCACTGTCCTGTCACATCTTGAGATGCCTTTACCTTACTTTACATGGCCTCTTTACTGAGTACCGCCTCCACGTCTTGCTGCTGCGCGGTGGATCCTGCATAGCGGGAAACCCGCAAACGCCCACGCCAGTTTCATCTTGGATGCACACCAACTACTGCATAGTACAGGCACTTGAAAGCCACAGGGGCTGCTTAGCGGCTTATCTAATCATCTGAGATTCCCCAGGCGGAGGGACTTGAAAGGGGCTACATCACGGTACCTTACCTAGGTCTCTTTGGTACCTCAGACATGGTTGTCCGTCTGTGTCTTTGTTCTGGGTCGATGCCGCCTCTCCCTGCCTGAGATGAGGTCTGGACGGGGTAAATGGTGTAAGCTGGTTCAACTTGCCGGACCTTACTTTCATAGGACACTGCCAAACAATCAAAAACTACAGGAGCCAAGCTTCAGCCACAGAGACGGACGGCAACGCGGACGACCATGCCAATGCTGTCAGAGACATGAAGAGCTCAGGGGTTACCTGACCTGCCTAAACTACAAAGCACCTACACAGCACTGAGGCACCTGCACTATTGACGCTAGGCCCTTGCAGCGCTCGTGGCGGCTGTCCCAGCCCGCACAGGCGTGTGTCCTTCTGCAGGTCTCGGGTGGTCTGGGCTCTCTCTGCTTACCTTGGGTGGTCGGCTCCCGAACGAAAGGGCCTGCGAAACAGAACATTGTCTCTACCTGCCTGCCTGCCTGCCCATGCCACTGTTTCTACCGCCCGTGGTGGTGATGGTGGTGGTGTGCATCTCTATCTACTCCAGCACACTTGAATCTCTCGAGACTGCCAATCTCAACTCTGCCTCCCTACATCATCAGCCTCACCTCTCCTCTCCTCCCTCTCTGTCCCGGCCGGCTCACCCGACTTGAACACGCAACGTGGCCATTACCATTGGATGGATGGATGGATGGATGGATGGATGGATGCCCGTCGACCCTCTGCCCTCCCGCAATGCGCACAGTCTCATAGTGTACTGTCACTTGTACCTATCCCATCCACTCCTCCACCGCCATCACATCACCTCACCTCATACAGATGAACATGCACATCGCCCGTCGCGTCCCCATTTCCCCATCCATGGCTTCTTGTCCATTCCAAGTCATCAACCTTGGCTGAAGCAGTGGGCCCTGCCCACGCTCCCTCTCGACCTCCAATTGCGATCCAACAGTGAGCCGAGATTCAGACGCCTTTGCACCGCTACCCCAGTCTTTTCCCCTTCCACCGGCAGATTGCCCCCGCCGCAGACCTGACGGAGCCGTGCCTTCAAGTTTGAGAACCATCTGCCGTCGCAACTTGTCGTGGATTCCATCATGGCTGTGCTCGTCCAATCCTTGATCCGTCCCTCAATTATTGCGCAAGCCCTCGTCAATCTGCTTCCTGCTCAAATTTGATCCACGCTTTTCGCTTGTACATGAGCCTCACTGCACCCACCGGAAGTCGAACCCTCCCATCCATGGAACATTGCTCTCATCAAACCGAGATCCTCTGCTTCGCACATACGCGTCCATTGCCCCGTCCGTTTTTGACCAGACAACCCCTGTTCCGTTTGCAGATTATGTCGTCATAGCCTTTGAATCCTTATCCATCCTGTGACTCGATCGCATTGGGCTGCCACAGACAGATTTTGCAGAATATGGAAGTAATTTATTGATTGGCGATCTTGTTTTGGTATGTGCAGTCGATCGCGTCAATATCCCCATGCGAGGAAAGTATGTCTATCGTAGTCTACGTTGAATCTCGGCCTACTGCCGCATCTCCGAAGCCCGTCAGTTCAAAGCAGCCGCAGCCGAGAAACTACTCCCAGCTCCAACGTCGTCATCCTCATCCTCCGGCTCCGAGCTCTCCGTGAGCCGGCCGATCAGCTCCTCATACCGAGGCCGGAAAGGCCATGACATGAATGCCTCCAGCAGCTCTGTCCACTGCTCCTGATTCATCATCCGCGGGCACAGTTCCGCTTGTCCCGATCCGGGCAGACCACCCCGCGCCGGATCCCGCAGGCTCGGGCACCGTGGCAAGATACCGTCCGACGCGCCGGGCCAGATCCGCTCGAGCGCCTTGCTGACGGGGTCGAGACTTGCACCCATCATCGACCGCTGGATGAGTTCGAAAAGATCGCCTGCTCTTGACGACTCAGGCCCAATCTCCCTCAGCAGCGGGTGCATCGCCTTGGGTTGAATGTCAAGCAGCGTGCAGTCCACATTCGGGTAGAACTCGTTTGGCTTGGCTGCTATGGGCTCGTATGGACGCTTGTCCCAGAGCAGCACCGGGGGGTCTTGAAGGAAGATGTGCGCATTGTCCTTGACGAGCCGAAAGTCGATCTTTTCGTTCTTGTTGAGAGCCATGACTTTCGCGTTCCACGCGCGTTCACGCTCCGAAATCTCTTTTTCGGGGGCACCCTGCTGGCGCAGATGCCCAAGGTCGTACAGCTCATCCAGGAGGGCCTTGTACACCTCAGGCTCGGCAGAGTGCTTCTTCGCCATAGAGCGCAAGGTGACCAGCCGCTTGAACTTCTTCAGGTCTAACTCCTTGGTGATCTTGCCGCTCTTCTCCTCTGCTGCCAACTCTTCCAGCTCATCGAGGTATGGTCGGTAAATGTCTGGCGGCATCGACCCTGCGTACCGCTTGCCGCCGGCAACGTACGGTTCCGCCCGCTTGGTGCTCTCCATCTTTCGTCCCTTAGGAATTTCCATCCCATTCTTATTCATCCGCGCAAGCGTGGCCGTCGTGCTGTCCACATCTATCCATCTGTCTCTAGCGTACCATCCCGACTGCTCAGTAACGTCGGGGACGGCCACTGGGGCGATCCATTCGCATGTAGCTTCAGCTTCCATAGCAACCTTCTTCCTCGCCTGTATAAACTTCGGCAAAATGGACTGGTAGTCATCTGCGCCGGTCCAGACAAGCATTCGCACGAGGCCGTACTTTTGGAACAACTGGCCCGTATGTATGCTGTTCAGCAACTGAAACAGAACGAGTCCCGCAATCGACTCGAAATTTCCGTATCGCTTCTTCGGAAACAGCGACAGATTTGCCGTGACCAGGAGCGTGTCGTTTCGCTCCGGCGTTATGCCAGGCCCCTTGGGTCGCGGTGTCTGGTTATCAACGTGTGCCAGAGCAGAGCCCAGCTCATTCCACAATAGCCCAGAGCTCGGTATCAACTTCGTATTCGGTCGCGCGAGGAGCGGTTCGAGAAAAGACTCGTAAAGACTCGCATCCGGTTCCATCAAGATGTGTTGGCGAGGCTTGAGGACGTCGTGGAGTTTGCGGCTCCAGAGGCCTGCGCCAGGGTTGATGTCGACGAGGTCGCAGCCTTCATGGCGTTTGAGGGTCGGGCCGATGTACTTGAGAATGTCGTCTGCGATTGCTCGGGTTAGAGGTAAAAGATAACTAACGTCAAAATTCCATACCGCATAATTCATCGCCGACAATGTTGACGCGTGCCCTGTCTGCTTCGGGATACTGATCTGCCGGTCCCCGTGCCCCGCGACGACCCTGTCGCGTCGCCTGTGTTTCCCAGACGCCCGTTTCCGCTAGGCGAGTGGCCGCAGGTGATGTTTCTTTGAGAATAGAGGCAGATAATTTCGATTTAGCGGTCACTCTCTTGGTCTTCTTGGTCGCGCTCGAGGCGGATCGTCGTGGAAGTACTCGGTCTGGGTGGATGAACAACCATGGCGACACAGCTGGCCGACGACGCAGATGCCGAAAAGTGAGTAGCATCGGCAGGGGAATGCAAGCACACGTTTTGTTGTGTTGGTAGAGTTTGTCCCGGAGAGCAACGATTGATTGATTGATTGATGGCTGCGGGGCAGAAATATTCTGCCGCAGCTTTGCCAGCAGCTGGCTGTCCTGATAGGCGATAAGCGGCGCCTGGCCGTGCGATTGTCTCCGTTGCCATTCCCATCAACAAGATCACCCGTGTCCGCGTGCATTGACACGTTCCGGCGGCGAAGAAAAATTTGCTGTCGCTACTCGCAAGATCCGTTCATAATTAGAGACGCAATTTCACCATCGCATCAACGAATTTGAAGCCCATTAATCCAAGTGGCACAGTCTCATCTTCTTCGGAATTGCAATGCACATAGATTTCCATCTTATCAAACCAATACAGCTTCGTGATACTCAATCTAAAGGATGCAGGGACACATATACAATTTGACGAGGAGACTTGAGAGGAGACTCGTTGATACGTTTTCCCATCAACAACGGCCTTGGAAACTTTTAGCTATGTGACGCATGTATCAGCGATGAGTCCACAGTCTATGACTCTGCTACTACTTGCATAGGCGTCTGGGAAGCAAGGCTATGAACGAAGGCAGAGACTTTGTAGATAGTCCTCTCAGCCCTGAATGGTTCAGCTAGGGCGTAACAAACTAGTAACATACGTAATAGTTTCGGGCAGAAAATTCCGAATGAGTATATAACGCTTTTGTACAGACACTGATGCCAGCAGCTGAACTGGAGCCATCTATCTCCACGGAGTGCATGTTATTTCCCCAGATTCTCATCGCTTCACTCCACATAATGTCCCTCTAGAGCTTGCTCAGATGAGAAAGTGGCGAGTGAGATCATTAAAATTTGGGACATGCAACTGCGGCCGCATATACGAAAGCGTCTGCTGTACATCATCGTGTGAATGGGCGTGTTGACAGGTTCTTCGCTGTTCGTGCTGATCTGACGAGTTGCATCTGGGCATGCACCACTCTTCCCAGAATTGAACCCAGTGCCGAGTTCACGTTACACTTGTATAAAGCCCCAAAGGTTGGCCTTCCACATTGCCATGATGATCTGTCCAGATAATCTGTTACGGGTCCGTCGCAGAGTGCTTTGTTGTTCGCCTCCACCCCGCATAGCCTCGCCTTACGGTCTTGGTGGCGCGTGCTTCTGATCAAGAACAGCCAATCTTGCGTATTGGGGAGAGTTTCGGTTTACATAGGAACACTGGGAACTGGGACTAGACATATTGAAAGAGGACTGCGGCACTTTCTGTAATGGCCGCCACCAAGGGTTGAACAATCACTGCTTGCGAACGTTATGATATCAATTTTTAACCTCGCTGCTCTTATCAGCCGACGTCTCCCAATAATAGAAAAGAGGATCTCGCGGCCTCAGGGAGCGTGTTGCGAGCAATCGAGAAAGGCACCTCAGGGGAAGTCGCTTCGTCTGCGGCGCGTTTGTCGAGCAGCTGTGTCTGCTAGATATGTCCTCTCCGCAAAGTTGTGGACTGTCTATCAGTCTCCTCCGCAAAAAACCTATAGTGGAGAAGTTGTATTTGGCCGAAAATCACTCCGCAATGCGCTGGAATAGACTTTTCTCCAACTTCCCTGTTGCCCCAGAACACAAACTGGGGTAAAAGTCATTTCGGTAATCCCGTTACATTAAGTGCAGCAACTGATCGAAGAAAACAAAACTTATTACTTCATAAGTACCACTCTTTTGACGGATCGACGACAGAATCGGGGAACCGTACGCCAAGAGTCTTCTTATCCGGAACGTCCGTAGGGTCATAATCATCGAGTCGTGTCACCCCGCGAACTCCGTCGAGCACGGCGTGGAGCAGGCGCATTTAAGTCAGGCAAAGTCGTACGTAATTGTAAAGAGGCAGAATGTGTCCTCTAACCAAGTCACCGAACAACCCTCTTCATTACTTCTTCTGCAGACCTTTTCTCCCTTGAGCCAAGAGATACCCGCTCGTCTCACTAGACGTGCCGATTCCTGGGCAGCCATGGCCGACTACCAAGTAACCACCGAAAAGAAGAAGACTCATCGAGTCGACTCGAACGACACCGAGGGTGAAGACCACCACAAAATTACCAGCGAGCCTGTCGATGTTTTCACCAATGAAGATGGCGACGTAAACTTCCGCGGCGTCTCATGGCCCGCGGCGGCCGTTCTCGTTGCGAAGTTCCAGCTGGGACTCGGAGTGCTGAGTCTTCCCAAGACCTTCCACACTCTGGGCTTTTTCCCTGGAATCCTCTGCTTCATAATTCTCTCGACTATGACAACCGCCTCGGGTTACATCTCCGGCAATGCGAGGCTTTACTACCCGCAAATCTATAGTGTCGCCGACGTGGCTGAGATGCTGTTCGGCAAGAAAACAAGGGAACTTGTCGGCTTCCTCTTCTACCTCTATCTCGCCTTGACAGCCGGCGCAGGCATGCTCGCCTCCTCCGTCGCCCTCAACGCGCTCTCAGGCCACGGCGCCTGCACTATGGTATTCGTGGCCGTAGCCGCTGCCGTTGCTTTTCTCATCGGCGGCGGTTTCAGAAGTCTGGACAAGATCGCCTGGGTCAGCTGGGCCGGTTTCGGCTGTATCTTTGTCGCTATCTGGACGACGGCTATCGCCTGTCTCGTGCAGAACAGGCCCGCCGCAGCCCCCCAGACGGGCACTATTGACCTCGATATCCGTATTTTCCCGGACACCACTTTCTCGCATGCAATGTCGGCCATCTCAAACCAGCTGTTCGCCGTTGGTGCTTCTGGGGTCTGCTTCTCTATCGCTGCTGAGATGAAGGAACCCAAACAATTTGGCCGCGCTCTGCTATGGGGCCAGGGAATTGTTATTGCGACTTGCATCGCCATCGCCTCCATCGTTTATTCGCAGGTCGGCCAGTACCTTGCCAGCCCTGCCCTCGGTTCTGCCGGTCCATTGATCAAGAAGGTTGCCTATGGTATTGGACTGCCTGGTCTCCTTGTAACAGCTATCCTCTACAGCCACACTGCTGGCAAGTACTGGTTCGTCAGAATCCTCCGCGGTACACGCCATCTCCAAACCAGTACCGCCAAGCACTGGCTTGTGTGGGGAGGCTCAATGTTCGTCACTGTCGTCTTCGGCTTCATTATTGTGGGAGTTGTTCCCTTCTTCAGCGACTTCCTCAGTCTTGTTGGCTCCCTCGTCAACCCCGTATTCACACACATCATCCCCGGCTTCATGGTCTTGTTCTACGTAGCAAAGAAGCCTACTATGGTTGGCTTGGACGGAACGCACGCACACGAGCACTCCTCCTCCACGGGCAAGCATTGGCTCCTTGAGGCCAACGATGCGGCCAAGAGTAGCATGAAGGATACGATGCTGGTTGTTGGTTCATGGAGCATGATTGTTATTGGTGTCTTTATCACTGTGGGCGGCACGTATGCGACTGTTCTGACGATTAAGGAGGGTTATGACAACGGCTCTATTGGCGGTGTATTTTCGTGTGCAGATAATTCATCAGGCTAAAAACAAAACGTAGACTGACGCATCAATCTTTTGCACAGAACCTGGAAGCGACGAAGCTACGGGCTGATCGACATGCATGATAAAATCGTTGAAGGTTTTGCTCAGTCATCAGGTGACCCCCTGAAGAAGACAACTCTTGAATCATTTCCGTCTCTCGTTGTTCCAGGGTGCACTTCCATGCAATCATTTTCGGATCTTCCCGGGAGCCTCGTTGGTTGGCTTGTGCCACCTCCATCTCGACAGTAAGCAGACTTCTTAGATTCGATATGATTTGCGACCTTTGGCGTGGGGTGGCTTTGGTAAGAATGAACCTGTGGTCTCTTTGCAGATATCCAAGCTGTTGCTTGATAAGGCCAGCCTCCTCACTCGTTAGCCTACACAGCTGCCTGGGCCGGTATTTGACTCGCGAAACTGACGATAGCTGGCTAGCAGGGACTTCTACGGCTTGGGGTAAGGACTTCGCCTGCAAGCTTCTGCGAAAGTTGCGAGCATCGATAAGGCCGGGTATGTCATTGAGGTTGCACACTGCTTCAACCGTTTGCTGTTTGCACTCAGGGTCTGTGCCATCATCTGGTGGTTGTTGGTAGGTGCGCTGGGATGTTGTGACCTTGCCTTCGTCATCAAGGGACATATCGGGCCCAGTTTCTAGTGTCAGGAGGCTACTAGGCGTAGATCCTATGATAAGGCGCTTCTGCTCTTGCTCATGAGACCCCGGCAATAATGACAAATCATTGTCCGGTGAAGTACCCAAGCTCCAATCAGACCATACCTCACTACTGGGGGACTCTGTGTCCAGGGAAGCTTGATGCCCCGCCGCAAGGGAGGATCTATATAGAACGTCCCTGTCTTCAATAGACAACATAGCTTCCGTCGGAGTATACGTGTCAAATGGTAGGCGATTGATTGAAGAGTCGCTGGTGGAAGCAAAACCGGAGGCAGAAATCTGAGGGGTCGTGTTTGCAACTTGTCTCGTAAAAGGCTAGACCATATTAGCGCGAGAGTGAATGAAGCCCACAAACGTTGAACCTTACCCGCCATTCCCGCCTTCGAAAGTATTCCTGGAATTCGCATGTTGCAAGAAAGGGGCTATCCTGAATATGACAGTTAGAAAGGGGGTGCTTTGAATCGGCTGTGTGGGACCGCAGGTACCGGGTCTCCAAGTAGAGCATAAAAGAGCAGACTCAGATCTGTCGGAGTGATCTG